GAACTGCTCCGGAGCCTGGAGAAGAACAGGACGAACAACTCAGAGCATCCCCTTCACAAGACATTTGAATTTCAGACGTGTAAAAATAAATGTAACCAAAATTCAGTTACTGAATCATATATGAGACTTTGAGTTGTATCTCACTATTGTGATGCTAATCACAGCCACTGCTCTTGGAATAGCTGCACCAGAAGGCATGAAACCATGCATATGTTGGAGAAGCCATTGGGATTACCAAGATGTTCTATTTTAATACCTCAAGTGCTCAGAGTAAGTGAGTCTCCTCATAATTAATGACACTCAATGTAGAATAGACACATAATACAAACACTGAGCCAATGAGGCAGTTACTGATGTCTTTGTGCAAAACGTATTTAGTGCATAAGAGCAGAGCACCTTTGCACACGAGTGTACAATCAAGAGCAGCGTGTTTATTGTTCTCTGATTTAAATCGAGCTCATACTTTTGCTGTTAAAGGTTGAATAAGGAACACGAACACCAAAGCGACATCTAGTGTGTGGAGGTTGTAGATGCAACACTAGAACAAGGTTTCCAGCGGTTGGGACACTAAGTTTGCTACCCATACGTGAAATGTTTTATTTGGGTCCATTTGTTGTAGGCTTCACCTAAACTCACTCTGGTTTTAGATCTTTCATGGTCGCTTCTCTTCTGAGAAGGATAACGACATCTTCTGGGCTCAGAAGCAGCTGCTTGACTTGCAGAGTCCGCCATTTTTAACAGGGCCAGCCTCGCTGTGCTGAGAGGACTGTTTGGCCACCTGCAATGATGCCCTCTACTGGCTGGTAGATGTAAACATAAACCCAGTGCTATTCCCATCAAAATAAATATTTGATTTTAACTAAGGAAATGCTGTACCTTCAATCTGCACACCTCAAAACGCCATGTGGAGGTATTTTGCTTTAATATAACTTTTTCTTAAATTCTTCCATATTCCATCTTTAAAGATATGATTCACTTGTTTAATTAATACATTTCCAGGTGGTCTCTTGTGAGTCATACTCTGGGAACACTAACCTGGAGAAGTTCTGCTGTGTGGTGGAGTTGTTAATGCTAACGGTTAGCTTCTACTAGCCAAGACGTTCTCTGTATTTCCTGGATGCAAAACCAACAACAGCCTTCCCCGTCGTGAGCCAAGATGGATGAGTCCATGAACGTTAAGTGACAGTGTGACTTAGATCTGTCAAGATTTTCAAATCCTAGAGTTTCAACGTCTATTTTCTATCAGAAACTAATGCAGGAGATAGGTGTAGGAGACTATTTCAATGTTCAGCCTGCATGAAAACTCAGAATTACCTATTATAATCAGAAATAGTTTTTGTGAACCACACCTTTAGAGGCGACGTGTTTAAAGGAATGAAAAAGCTCTTCCCTGTCAGCATCACTGGACGTCCCACGCTCTGATATCTATATTTCATAAACACTTCTCACCATTCATCCCACACTGCCCCCCCCCCCCCCCCCCATGCTCTTTTTTTAGCCCAGTGCAGCTGACTGCACAACAAGGAGCAGCTTATATTCAGAGTTCACTCTCAATTATTGATGGACCTCCCGACATGTGATCTAATCCATCCACTCAACCTGAGAAGCTGACACTGAAATTACTCTTTTGGTTTTACGCAGACTTTACAAACCTGTGCTGATTGATTGGGACGTTTTACTATTTTGTTTAAATATTGAGCTATACAAAAACAGAGATTAATATATTTAGTTTATGTATGATAAAGTATCAATGTAAAAAAATACAATATTAATATTAAAATAATAATGTAGGATTATAACTTTTTGTTCAAACATCCTCCCCACGTTTTTATATTGTAGGGTATGAGGTGTTGTTCAGTCCATCTTAATAATTTCTCTAATCTACACGACAGTCAGAAACATCACAAGTGTGATCTCTCTGATGACATAAAATCTCCTGTTGGTGCTCTTTTTCTAGTGCAACTGTGGTGATCTGGTTAAAAGTGCTCTACTGTTAATAAGAATCAGTAGCGCTAATCTGGAGGCGATTGATCTCATCAAGTGTTAAAGGTGCATTATGTAGAAATGAAGTAAAAATTACATCCTGTGGTAAAATTTGGTTACTGCGACCACTTTAAACAACTCTGGGGCTCTTTGCTGGCTGTCGTCAAATTACAATGGTCGGTGCTGCAGTATTAGCTCGCAGGAGACATGGCACCCCCACACTCGCTGATGGTAAACAGTAGTTACATCCCTCCTTCCTTCATTTTGAAAGGAGAAAAACTGACAACCCCCACAGCCAGCTGGATAAGAAATAAGTTTCAGTATAACCTTCCTTTCAAAATGACTGAAACATTCATCTCTTTTGGGCTTTTCTGACTGTAAAATTCTCACTGTATTCTTACAGACTGCACCTTTAACCACAATCCTTTTTAACAACTTTGAAAACAAAGTTGAAGGTTGAACGTACATTTTGTTTCACATATATTTGCCTTTAGAAATTCTTATTTTTCCAAATTTTGACTTGACAAGTTATTTAATATTGCAAGAAAAAAAACTTGGTGGTTTGCTCAAAACCACAAATCTGCAGAGAGCCCAAGAAAGTCAAAGGTTTCATCATGACCGGAATAAAAATGTGCACACAAATTATACGCCTAATGGCAAGTCTCTTTAGAACATTTAGCAACTAATAAACAATTAGGCCACACAGCAATTGTGCACCTGCAGGTAGAGAAGCATCAATGCTTTTGTGACATCAGCCAGGAGCCTGCCACTGCCTCCCAGTAGTTGTCTTTAGTAGTCACCTAGAGCTTGTAGTGAGACGGTGGGAAACACAGTCCTGCTCTGTGGGTTGGGGGTCTCCAACAAAGCCTCTAACAGAGGTAAGGTCAGAACCTATTGATTTTAACGCTGCTCAGTAAGAGAGCAGGCAGCTCAGTGCAGACGATAACACCTCAGAGTAAGTCTTCAGCAGCATGGCTGCAGCTCAGTTACACTGCAACAAGCGTTTCATGTAGGTGTGCTGTAATGGAAAAGCAATATGAGGTAACTCTGTATGATTGGCTTTCCACCTGGATGCTTTCATCCACTTTATCACTCAGATCAGCAATCACCTTGGAGGAAGGGTCTTCCAAAGCAGGAGCAGATTCACGAGCCACACAAGTGTGGCTTTTGTGAGCTCCGCGGTGTGGCTGGAGGACAGAAAGTGGGGCATGGAGTGTTTAATGTGCAGGGTAGAATTATATATCCTTTTAATCGCAGTCCCCCACCAAGCAGCTTTTTAGGATGAGAGTGACGGAGAGCCAACACAGAGCTAATTCCACTGCTGTCACATCCAGTCGTCTCTTACTTTTCAAATGAGCAGCAGTAATGACAGCCGTCTGATGGCCCATGTTGGTGCATGTTTATAGGGATGATGTCTGATAGAAGTCAGTCTGTGATCATAAGGTGAGAAGCAGCATAGGGGAGACTTTTTAAAGGACGAGCTTTGTCGAGTTTAGGCTGCTTGGGTGTCTCTTTAGCCTCTAAATGAGCTCCCAAACCATTTAAATGTACATTAAAAATAAAACTGAAGGCTATTTTTTGCCTCGTGTTACTCAGTAACTCTTGTTTTCAGCCCTGGAAGATTTCTTTTAAATCTACTACTTAATTCTTTTTAATGATGTTTCATCTAGCGCTGTGTGCGTATACTGAAAGCCGCTAACAACACCATGAATTATTTCCAGCGACAGAACACATTACGGGATTTAAATTGCAATATGAGCAAATCTCCCCTTTTTATTCATGCCGGTCCTGTTTAATGAATCGCAGGGAGATTGCCCTCACTGTTGCCATTAATCAGAGCTTCTCTGCAGCTGATTGAAGGGGGTATTATGAACAGGAATACCAACGAGTGGAGGAATGTGCAAATGTATGGTATGTATCAGCCATGCAAATGGCTAAGTGCTGTGTAAAGTCCTCCACAAGCTGGTTGGATACAAAGACCGTTAGAATTAGGCTGTTGTTACTGAAACGACTTGTTTCAAACTGGTGAGATAATTTAGTGCATTTAGAAAACTGCACCACTTCACATCTGTAATGTGAAATTATGATGCAATGTCTAAAGTACAAACTTGTTCCACAGTGTCTGTGAAGGTTCTCAGTCATCCAGGTCATTGTAGTCTAAGGAGCTTTGAAAGAAAAGCGTCTGGACTTCTTTGAGTTGCTTGAAGACGTTTCACCTCTCATCCGAGAGGCTTCTTCAGTTCTAAGGTCAAATGGTGGAGAGTCCTGGATTCAAAGCCAGTGGGAGTTTCCCCCCGAAGAGGGAACAAAAGACCCCCTGATGATCTTCTACATAAACACATGAGCCAAGGTGTGAGGGTGGGTGTGGGTCCTATTCAGCCAGAGTTTCGGGTGAGCTCATTGTGAAGCCTGGCCCCAACCTATGTGAATTCCTGAGGTCAGATGGCCCAGGATATGTTCCACACATGGTTCCACAGAGTTGGCAGTTCTAGGGGCGGGGCCACTGGAGGCTGGCCCCCGCTGAAATCTGATTGGCCCCTGAAGTCCCTGTCCTGTCACTCATCTGTTGTTTACAAAATGACCAGATTAAAGATGGGTGCCATTCCAAGTTCAAACACTAGTGGCGCTAATAAGCCAGATGACTTTCCAGTGTAAACCAAGCCCCCACAATGCCGCTCTAAAAATGGTCCCATCCCGGAAGTAAGAAAAATTGCAGTTCCACCCTCATCCGCTGGGGGCTGGTACCAGAAGCGAGCAAATCCTCATTGACTCCCATGTTAAAAATGCCATTTTCACAGCAGAAATAAACATGTTTACAGCCTGGTTCAAAAAATGGTTTTTTGTCTAAATTATCTAGTTTATACTCATGACAACTCTGAGGGGGGTGAATTTTTTTCTCACTCTTCTGTTTAAGTGTATTGAAAGCCTAAAATTCTGTATAATTAATGAGCATCCGACACACGTGACCGCCGCCTCAGACCCATGTGACCACATAGCTAGCTCCGTGGAAAGGCCTCAGTACAGCCTCGGCCCCTCCTGGAAACTGTGTCGGGATTTTGAGTCTCTGTGCTTGTGAATTCTGTTTTGGATAATATTGGTGCAATTGTTGGACAAAATGACTTGCTGTGGTATTAATTGCACTAATAGAGCGTCCAAGGAGTCTCCACTTCATTTTTTTTCGGTAAGTTAAAATCTATATTTGTATTTTATGTCACTGCTGCCTTTAAACTAGCTGAGTTTACCGAAGTAGCTAGCTAACTATCAGTTTAACATGTAGCATGTACTGTTTAACCATGAAATTTAAATGTAAAATACGGTAAAATAATTAATAGGGCATATTTAGATGGGTAATAGGGTAAAACCCAGTGCATTTAAGATAAAAATGGGTTGAAAGATGACGGGGCGCGCCGCTTGGGGGGACACTTCTGTGCTCCATTCTTCCATCCGGTAATCCCCAGCGGTCAGGCCGGGCAGGCTGACCGATGCGGCGCCTCGCTGCTGCGGGCTGACCCCTCGTGGAACTCGGAGACAGATCTGACCGGAGAAATACTGCAGCTCGTTGAGAAGTCTATAGGGCATACAGCGTTTCCCTTAAATCCCACTGCCACGCCGACAAGATCCCAAGTTTCTTTGTTTTTGTTTGCGCTGTTTACCGAAGAAGCAGCGGGAATACCAGCAAGTTTCATCAGACTCGTAAAGTTAGTTTTTGCAGGGGACCCCCTGTATTTTACTGCTCCCTCCTGCAGTCTTCCCCTATTAAAATTTAAAATGTGTAACTTCATGTATTGGGATGAATGACTGATAACTTTATTGTATTTATCCTAGTGAATCTATAATTAAACGGGTAAACTAGTAGCACCACATCCAACATCAAAGAAAGTAAAATGTTATTATCAGGAGAGGGAGAATGATTAAGTGGTTAGCAGCAGTGTGCTAGCCGATGGCCCCCTCCATGAGGCCACCACAGCTCAGCAGAACACCATTGTAGCTTCTTCTGGGGAGAAAAACACTTAGAGAGAAAATAAAGTTAACAGCTGAAATAGCAGGAAATAATACAGTTAAAGAGCAGATTGTAGAAGAAAGAAACCCCTGGGTTAAACTGGTCTGTCTACTGCATAATGCTGAACTCTAACATGTGTCCTCAGGGAAGGACCTGATTGGTGTCCAGAACCTGCTGAAGAAGCACCAGGCTCTGCAGGCTGAGATCACAGGTCATGAACCTCGCATCAAGGCTGTCACCCAGAAAGGAGAGACCATAGTGGAGGAAGGTAGAGCAGGTCTGGTCCTGACATGTTTCTGAGGTGTCTGCAGGTTCTGGCTCACTTTGTTTGGGTCCAGGTCACTTCGCTGGTGAGGAAGTGAAGACTAAACTGTGGGAGCTTCATGGACGTTGGGACAAGCGAACATCTCCACACCTGCTTTGTGTTTGTGTGACTTTAGGTTGTTTTACTTGAACTCGCGTCTTTAGCTGAATGAGGATGGAGAGACGGGTCGGACCTGGAGCAGGTCGAGGTCTTGCAGAAGAAGTTTGACGACTTCCAGAAGGTCGGACTTTTCCTCCTCTCCGTCTTCCAGCAGCAGCTGTCAGATCAGCTCAGGTGATAATCAGCAGGTGCTTTTGTCCTGCAGGACCTGAAGGCCAACGAGTCCCGCCTGAGGGACATCAACAAGGTGGCATCTGAACTGGAGTCAGAAGGTCTGATGGCTGAGGAGGCTCCTATGGTTCAGGCTCAGGTGAGCGTCACCTGTCTGCAGCAGCTGGTCCCTCTCACTTCCTGGTTTAACTCTGCTCGTCTCTGTTTGTAGCAACAAGAACATCTGGGTTCTGCTCCTGGAAAGGTGCATGTTGTCCTCCGCCTCCACCAGAACCAGACGTGGTGTTTTTGTTACCACTCATTTGTTTGTTTACAGGATGAAGCCGACTCTAACCCCGGCTTTCCACAGGAGTCGTCAGCAGCACGTTACTGCAGCAGCACGTCATAGCTGCTGATAGGAACCGCTGTGGTCAACAGAACCTTTTCCACTGGAGCCGTCAGCAGCGCGAGTCGGCCGCGTCTCAGGAGCAGCATGTCGCGGCCTTTACGCGCCGGTTCTATTTTCTACGCGCGACGCCTCTGAAACGGGTCAAGTTCGACATTTTTGGGGAAGGAAAGACAGGAAATCGGACGCGGAAATTGAGAGAAGCTACCGAGATTTTCAGAATAAAGAACGTACTGCCTTCCGGTTGCTTTACTTTTAAAAAAAGTTACTAACTGCGGCCCCGTGAGAAGTTATCACCTAGCTAGCGGTCTCCTTTGTTTTTCAGGTCCGTATTGGCGATTATAAAACGGACAGAACATAAAACAAACCATGTTGTAGTTTTCTCCTGCTTGTTGTTGTGTTTACTGACGAAGTCACTCGTGTGACTTTGTGCTCGGTCGGTGACAGCTGCTCCCCTGCTGCTTCGCGTCTCGTGGGAAGGGCCAAGCAGCAGCTTACGCGAGCAAGACGTGCTGCTGCAGTAACATGCTGCTGACAGCTCCCGTGGAAACCCGGGGTAAGACGGCGTCACCCTGGAAGGTGAGTTCATTCAGCTGATCAGAGGTCACCTCTGATGGCCGCAGTCACGGCCGACCGTGCTGACATCACACAGGAATTCAGGTGACCCGGCAGGCACCAGGTGCTGGTGAAAGTGGGGATATGTCAGCTGGTTGCCATGGCTACAGTTATCTTTATGCATCTGTATGACTGCTGACTGGTGTGTGTTTCCTGTGACCTTTGACCTCAGACCGTACGGTTGGGCGTTCAGACGACGGCTAACTTTAATTCCATCAAGGTAAGAGGAAGCTCTTCCCTTCCTGTCTGAGCGATCCGTCTCCAGGTTTCCTCGTCTGGCGTCCAGCCCGCTGGCGTCCACCTTCATCTCACTGGGTTTGGTTTCTCTCCAGGAGCTGAACAACCGCTGGCGCTCGCTGCAACAGCTGGCTGAAGACCGGAGCAACATGCTGGGCAGCGCCCATGAGGTGCAGCGCTTCCACAGGTACCCCGCACACTTATGCGCCGCTTACGGGTCAGTAGAGTTTGGACCCACACTCAGACGGAGTTCTGATGTCTTCTCAGAGACGCTGATGAGACCAAAGAGTGGATCGAGGAGAAGAACCAGGCCCTGAACACAGACAACTACGGCCACGACCTGGCCAGCGTTCAGGCTCTGCAGCGTGAACATGAAGGCTTTGAGCGTGACCTGGCAGCTCTGGGTGATAAGGTCCGCTTCCTGATCGGTACCAGGACCCGGGTTGTCTCTGGAGACACGTTCTTCATGGTTCTGGTGACTCCACCCCAGCCGTTCCTGATCAGCAATCAGCGGGGTGCTTTCCTATTTAAGGTGGATGGAGGACAAAATTTGACGCCAGAAGATTGCCTCAGTTTTGGTAGTAACCAGCCACTCGTGTTACCTCTAGTGTTCCTAGGATTAATGTTATTTCGTAGTGTTTTTGCTCTTATATTGGATTTACCATTCTTCAGGATTCCTGTCGACCTCATTGGATACTGACCTCTACTCCAGGATTTGGATATTCAACACACGGACCTTATCACCACCCTCCATAACCCACCTCTCATCTCACCCAGTGCCCCATCCACCAGGACGCCCCGCTTCTCTCCACCTCTGCTCCCTCTCCTGCGCTTCCCCCGGCTCTCTACCTCTCCCTCCTCCAGCCAACCCATACACCCACCACAGTAAGTCTGCTGAACACCTCTGCCTGCCTACATTGGATTTTGAAATCAGAACCTAAGCTCACCTGTGTTCTCCCTCCTCCAGACGCTGAGCTGTTGTTGCAGTTCCAACCACAGACTTATCTGTGCACCTTAAGTTCCTCCTTATAAATAAATCATTTTTTCCATAAGTTTTTGGTCAGTGTTGTATTCTGCATGTCTTGGGTTAAGTACCTTCCTCCAAACATGACACTCCTCTTCAAAGAGCAAATCTGTTCAGCACATTCTGACAGACAGACCACCATTCTTCTGTCATGATGCTGTACAGGACATTTTTAGAGTTTTTCTTTTTAAAGATAAATAGGATTACATTTAAAGAGCAATACTTTCACATTATCATTTTCCCACACTTCTGTATAACTGTATTTTGTTGTTTTTCAATAAAGAATGGCAAATTATTTAAGTTTGGTTTTTGTTGCACACAAATATATATCTGTAAAAAATATCTAAAAAGCTAATGTTTACATAAGTATGATTGGGTTTTGCAATACGGCACTATTTTAGTAAGATTTTTAAACCAAGTAAAGTTAGTAAAGAACACATTTCTATTGTCTGCTAAGAAACTGTTGGGATTTAAAATGGGCCTGTTGTACAAATAACTTGTAAATGATTATTCCTCACTTTTGTCTTAACCAAAGAAATTCCAGTAATTGAGCAAAAACATTTATTTTTAACACTACAGTTTATAAAACAGGGCGCAAAGTGTCGGCACATGTATGTTTGTATGTATGTCGATGGTCCACCCCAACCGAACCAGGAGACACAGACGTCAGGGAGGCCAAGGTTGTCTCTGCAGCTCTCTGGGCACCACGCCTCACTCAGCTGTCTCCAATTATCCAAATGGCTATGGAGGAAAAAATAACAGGTTTGTCATAATTGTTTCAAGTACAAAACCATACATGAAGTGGTGAGACAGGTATGTGAAACTTACACTTGCTGCTTTGTGTAGCTGATGTTGGAGACACACAGGCTGCCATGGTGACATTTAAACAGATCTAACAAAAAAATAAAAATGAAAATTAAAAACTCCCAGACCTCATGTCATATTTACTAATCAGCTATGGCTGATTTATTGTTTGGATCACAGTGAGTTACACTAATTCTAATATATTTTTATTTCTATTATACATACATACTTTTTAACTGTTATTTTCACGACTGTTATCAGGCTCTCTTGTTCTGGTTCTGATGATAATTCCGTGTCTTCCAGTAAGTTATCTTGTGCTTACTTCATCTGTATAATGTCTCTTTACTTTTGGTAAATTGTACTGAGTCCAGAATAAAGACTAGTTGGCTGTACAAGATACAAACAAGTATCACATTTTGGAAATATATGAAATGTATTTAGGCTGCATATTTAGCTCGAATACTAATAACTGCCATATTTTCCGGACTATAACTCGCACTTTTTTACATATTCTGGCTGGTCCTGCTACTTATACTCCGGAGCGACTTATATAACAAAATATGTAGGCTACACCGCGCTGCTGCGGGCCGACTCCGACCCACCCAAGAATGAGTTCCCCTGTCCCGCTGGAAGGGTTTCAAACACCGCCAGCATTTGTTAGAGCCTGTGGCGGGGTGCTGAGGGCCGGCTCCAGCCCAGGAATGAGCTCTCCTCGCCGGCCGGGAGGGTTTGAAACACTGCCATCCTCTCCTCTGCTGGCTGTTGTTCATTCTGTTATGGTTACCGGTGCTTGTGTTGCAATGTGAAACGCTTGGTCTCAGATTTTGTAAGAAAGATAATAAAATGTCCCCCCAAAATACGACTTAAATATATTTTCTCTTCTTCATTATACATTTAATGGCTGGTGCGACTCAGGAGCGATAGCCCGGAAGATACGGTACTGAAAACTTGCTCACAGAAAAATGTTTTCATTACGGAAATAAATTATAAACTTACCGATTCAATACTTTTTTTAATCCAGGTACTTGTCACTAACAGGCGCCGAAAACCTCCACCTAAACTCCGTGTGAGGTTCAGGTCGATGGGTGTTCCAGTTAGCTCCGGTTGGGTTGAAGCTAGGTGGCTACATCCGTTAGCTCAGCTCCCACCTCCGCGTTAGCTTTGGGTTAGCCAGGGTTAGCTTCAGGTTAGCTCGTAGCTAGTTTGCACGGGTGTCGTCACTCGAGCCCAGCCTTACAGCCCCACCCTCAACTCCTCCTCTCTTCCCTTTTATGGAATTGTCTGGGCTGGACGGGACCTGTGACACGGTCAAAATGGCGGTGGTGGCCACCTCCCATTATAGACAAAAAACGTGTTATTGGAGTCTATCGAATCCATTTGTCCAGTATGTACAGTCTATGGTGTAAACTCATGTGTACTTGACCCTTCTAAATATTGCGCCTTCTTGATGGCCCCATTCTCAGAAAAATCCTAGATCCACCCCTGCTCCATTGATAAGAAAATAATGTAAAAAAATAAAATAAAATAAATAAATAAACCTACTTTGTTGTTCATTGAAATTCAATCCAGAACTTTAGCCATTTGTACTTAACATTTCTTTTTGTGTGTGTGTCCCATTATCCACATTTATTTGACTTTGAAGCAACACAAATGTACAATTTACCTCAAAGTGATTTTCCCAAAGCCTTGGTGATTTAAGAGGGTTTGACCACATGCTTTACCTTCTGCGGCACATAGCTGAGTGTTTATTGCTACTGTGAACAGTAGATGACAAAATGGACGTAGTTATTCGCTGTCAGACATGAAACTGAAGCAGAACTCCCTTTGTTTACGACCGACTGCTGCAGGATTCTGGATGCCAAAAGCGTCTGGTTCAAACAGACTCCAACAAAAGATCACAGGGTCGTTACTTAAATTCACACATTCCTGACCCTTTTGCCTAAATGTGTCACATTCAAAGAACACAGAAAAGAAGTGGCTGTAGCAATGCAAAGATTTAGCAAACATTGTTTTTACGTCTTTAAAAAAGTCTTATGAGACAGAAGTGACCGTATTTACCTGCACTCAACAATGTTGACCTTTAATAGTTTATACGGAAGTCCTGAACCAGTGTTAGGAAACAGAAACACCTGGGTGGATATCCAGAGCAATTTGCCTCCTAACAGATGTCTTCTGGTTTGTCTTACGTTCGTGTTTTAGATCAGCAAACAAATTTCCACTACAGATAACCCAAGTAAATACCAAATGCAGTTTTCAAAGGATGTTTCATGCATGTATCAAACAGGAAAAAACACATCTAACCCAGCATGTTTCTGAGGAAGTAATTGTCCATTTGTTAAAATCCACACTATCAGAAGAGCAAAGCCCAATACTTTGACTCCTCGAAGTGGGCTAAACGATCTCAAAAAGCTACACATTGTACCACGACTCAAAGAAATACTGACTAAAAACCCCAGAACAGCTTCTTAAACATGCAAGCTGACTTGTCACATTCATATTTCACCTTGCTGGGTGGGTAAAATTAACTTTTTAAAGTTTTTATTTTCCTTCAAAGTATGTCTAAACAGGATATTATACATTTTATTTGGTATTCTCGGCTTATTTTTGTCAGAGAAATAAGCTAAATTATCCGACTGCGATGATCCAAATTTCTCTCAAAGCTGCAAACGGGTGAATGACCAATTAAAGCCAGCGTTACAATTAACATTAATCTCACATCACGGAGCCTGCAGGCACTGCTGTTGCACACACCGACAGATGAGTTAACTCCGGAGCTCATATTTGTATTATATATTTAAAGAAATGTGAATGTCCACACCCATTACCCTTTCTCTAAAACCCAAGGACACAGATACACGTATGACTCCCCAGTAGCTGTGCTCACATGTGCACACCCACACCTCCCCGCCTCGAGAGCACAACCACCACGCAGAGCATTCCATCATGTTGTCACTCTCATCTGCTGCCCTTTCCCATTACTGCTCTCCCCTGATTTCTCTCTCCTTTACCTCTCCTTCTGTCAGCCCCCCCCCCCCCCCCCCCCCCCCCCCCCCCCCCCCCGCTCCAGGCTCAAATGAACATGGTTCCTGAGGATGTTGTGTAGGTAGCAACGGTGACATGCTCTGGTCTGATGTTCTTTGGGTCAGACAGCATGTTAACAGCCTGAGAAAAAAAAGGCCACAGAGCTGTTTCAACACACCTTTCATGATTGAAACCAAGAAGATATTTTCCACATGTGCACACTAGCTACAGAACACCAGCTTCACAGAAAACCCTCTTCCTACATCTGTGGAAATAGAAAACATGGAAAAATACCAGTGTTGTATTCTGGCTGCTTTACAGTATAACCACGGGAGCTGTCTGTTTGTGCAGATGAAATTTGCTGCAGTGTCTGCACATTTCTTCTTTCCTTCCTCCACGCTTCCAGAGAGGGATAAATGACAAAACCATGTCAGGCTGGTGATGCAAGGAGGATAATTAGGATTCACGAAACACAGTTTGTCCTCAAAAGCAAATCACTTCCCTGGTGCTCAGGGGCTACCGAGGCACAGATCATTTTATATATCAGCACCTAGCAACTGGCAGATGGAGCGAACTTAGAGCCGGCTGCCAGAGCTGATAGGACACTGCAGGACTGCAAAATGAGCTGTGATGATTCTCCTGCTGAGGCCAACAAGGGAGACATACCTCATTAAGATGCAGCACATCCTCCAATGCCTGGCCACACTCTGTAGCAGCAAGGTGTCCCTCTGCAAAAAAATAAGCTCAGAAAAAACACACTGAATGAAATATGATTAAAAGCAGACGCCAGAATAATGAGATTGCACGCGAGTGACGCGTTTTAGATCCCACAGAATGACGAGCTGAATCGGTCTTCCACACCTATCGCTGCCTTAAACGTGTTGGCAAACAGGAATCCTGTCTTTTTCCTTCTTCAAACACATCTCTGCTCTGCATGGAGGCAGGTCATTAAACCGACACCTGGTGTGTGGGCATAAACACGTGCTCCTCATAAACCTGACTGCAACACCACCTTTGTGGCATAAACAGGCAGAAGCATGTTCTCATCTCTAACCCATGAAGGAACGCTGAGGTGATCAGTCGCAATTCTTTTCTTCTCTACTGTTCATTGTTATTTCTAACTTAGCAAATTCATGGCCTTTCTTATGAGTAATAAAATGATGTGGCAGTGTGAAACATAAAACCGATTCCTTCGCTTTAACGCTGAGACGAAGCAGGAGGCAGACTGAAGAAGAGCGTAATGAAGAAAAAGCAGAGGGAGATTCAGGGAACAGGGGCTGTTACAAGACACAAAGACAGAGGGGCAGAGGCTCCTGGGAGGGAGCGACGGGACTGTGGAGAGGGGCTTAATTTCCCAACACCATCTGTTACCAGTCCCTGGGTTGAAAGCTCCACTTATGTCAAACCTCCACAGCCACACACCAGCAGAGCACTGGTGAGCTGCAAACGCATCAAC